GTTCGCATCCCACATATGAGGGCCAGTGACACTGCCCTCTACAGCTAAGATGCTGAACAACAGCTCAATATGGAGCTGGGCTGCTGTGAGTCGCTGGAAATGGCGTAGGCTGCAGCCCCTGCTGCAATGGATTGCCATGGCTATCGTATGTAGCCAGCAGCCAGCGTGAGCAGCCAGCAGCCGCGGTGAAGCTGGCGACTGATCTGCCTCGCCTGGGAAGAGTGCAATGATGGTGCCAATTTGGGCCAGTGAAGCAACATACTCCACAATTAGACTGAAGAACAAAAGGACAGCAACTTGTCTGTTCCCCTTTCCCCAATTCCCCAGCGCTGTTCCCAACGCCCCAATAAAAATCTTAAAAAAAAAAAAAGATTACGGCTGATGGAGGCACACCTGGCCTTTTCAAAGTCATATTTAACTATGAAAAAGGGAGCAAAAGGAATGTCTCTTGCTAAATGTTTTCTTCTTGTTTCCTATATGGGGAGCTCATTGGACCTTTTGAATTCTGTCTATAAATTATGATCTTTCTATTAGTAGCAATAACAAAAAATCTATAGGTTCTTATCGTTTCCAGTTTCACTGTGGTAAATGATCATGAATAAACACATCTGTTCCGGGGACATGGCTGTTTGACTTTCCCCAGGGGAGCTCCCTGCTGGCACCTGACTGAATTTGCTGTAGAACAACTGATAACCTGGGGCTGAGGCTAAAATGAGGGAATGATGGCCCAAAGAGCTTGGAAGGATGTAATAGGAGGTAGATTGATTTTGTGCAGAATCCAGAATAAGTGCAGCGGAGTATTCAGGTATAGGAAGTGCCACAAATCTTTGCCCTCCTGGGCAGGATGGCAGCTGGAGGCATATTGCTTATTTGTGGAAAAGTCACATGGGGCTTGATGGAGATCTCAAGAAGAGGGAACACTGACAACGGATGTTCTCTAAAGATCAACTATAGATGTGGTGGTTGTTGGACCCAAGTGAGATAATTAACAGGTACAAGGTACCTT